TTTTGCAGCTTGAGGCCAGAGTTTAAATTAAGACTTCATAATTTATGAGTTATGAAACATGGAGCAAGATAAATGACATCTCCTTGAGTTTAATTCTCCGTATCTGTAACATCATTATAGTAACACCTATCTTACTGAGGTATCTAAAAATATAAGTCAGTGTCTATTATGGAGTCACTATTGAAACCCTTCATGACATAGTAAATGTAAATTCTCTTTTACAATGTATGGAGTTTAAGGATCATCATATTAAAAAAATTTATTTTTCTAAAGCAGATAAAACTGCTTCAAGTTCCTTCTTAATTGAATGCAGAGAAAATGTTTCTAATAGTGACATTAGAGATAATTTGAGAATCTACTCCTTAGGTCATGTAAGAATTCTGGGTCCTACACATTCCAGGTTGTTCTAGGGGGCAACCTCTGGTGTCCAGTCCATATTGTCTACCCTAATAGATTCATTGCCTGAGACAGCAAGGTCACAGGTGGCTCCATTGTTCCAAATTGAAGACTTAAGGCATTGTCCACCCTCTCCAGGTCTTACCATAAGTGCTTCTACCTAAAGTCTAGCCACTTCTCTATGATGTTGCATGGAACCAAAGCCCTGGTCCTTTCGTCTGCAGAACTGGCAGGATGCTAGTTCCTCCCTTCTGCTATCTCCAAAAAACTAAATCTCTCTAAACCTTTCTTACTTCTCCAATTAGCTCTCCTAATCCTTGGAGGTGGGAAATGGGTCTTCTCCCTGTTGATAAATATAGCCCCACCATTTCTAAGAGGATGGGTTTTTCCAAACCAAAGTACTAGGTGTGGATTATCTTTGGATCTCTGGAAATTTGACAACATCTAAGGCACAGAAAGACAAAGACTAGGCAGTTTTTGCAGAATCTGTGAAGGGAAATAAGCATATCAGTAAGAATAGAGCACACATTATTCTATTCATTATGCTGCCAAAATTGAATTTAATCAAAATTCTTGAGAGTGGAGGTAATACACTAGAATGCTCTTCATCTCAATCATATTAAACATCCTATAAAGAAAGTTGTAATTCAGCTTAGAAATTTTGTATGTTTATGTATCAGGTGCTTTCTATAACCAAAGGGGTAAAATCAAGGATTACGAGTCAGAACGCCAACCATAAAACTGACTTTATGGACCTGAGCCTTATCAGAGTAATTGCCGAAACTCTTCCGAGTCCCTTTTTTCTTTAGGTAGCTGCTATGGAGCTTGCTACTTCTAGTCGGTTTTTCTTTCTTTCAGTGATGCTGTCACTTTGGTCACCTTACGTTTTCAAGTTCTGGGCACACAGCTACCCCACAAATATTAACTTTCTGTGGCATCACAGAGTGACAGCCAGTGGCAGGGCTATTGATGTTGTTGCTACTTTTTCCTTTTTCTCCACTCTCCATTGAGAGTGAAGAAAAGCTTCCTTTGGTGGCTCCCAAGTATGGTACTTGAAACTTCTACTAGCAGATGAAATCTTTCTCACACTTCACATTTCTTATCTTATTCCTATAACCCAGTCAGGAGATCTTGACAAACTCCTGCTACCTCCACAGCAGCGATCCTCAACCTTTTTGGCACCAGGGACTGGTTTTGTGGTATGTGTGGTGGGCAGTGGTTTCAAGATGAAACTGTTCCACATCAGATCACCAGGCATTAGTTAAATTCTCATAAGGAGTCCACAACCTAGATCCTTCTCCTGAGCAGTTCATAATAGGGTTCAGGCTCCTATGAGAATCTAATGCCACTGCTCATCTGACAAGAGGCAGAGCTCAAGTAATAATGCTTACTCAAAAGCCACTCACCTTCTGCTGTGCAGCCCAGTTCCTAACAGGCCACAGGCTGGTGTGTTGGGACCCCTGCTCTAGAGGGAACACGTGTGTTTGTGCGTGTGTGTGTGTGTGTGTGTGTGTCCCTTATTCTTTAGGGACTGGGGCTTCCTCAAGGCAATTCTTTATCTACATCCAGCTCATGCCCAAATTCAGGCCTTCTGAACCAGGAGATCCCTGCTACATTTCTTTGTGTTTGTTCAGTAGTCTACTATCTATTTAAAAATTGTTTTCAATAGATTATCTTTAAATCTCTCAAGAATCTCATGTTATAGACAGTTTTGTTGTTTTTATTTTACAAAAGAGGAATATAGGGTTTAGTGAGATTAAGTGTTTTTCTCCAAGTTAGAGCCAGTAAGCGCTAACTGGATCTCAAACTCAGGTCATCTGACTACAGATCCTTGCCTCTGACCCCTACGCAACAGCTGCAGGATTCTGACATATATTTCACTTTCAAGCAGAGGATATTATTCATAACAGCTACTCAATAAATAATTGTTGGTTTATTTATCTCATTTGCATAGGCCAGACCATATGTTTTGGAACTAGTTTAGAAGGCAGGAACTTGGAGATCATTTTACCAGGTAAACCCATACCTAATCAAATATAATCAGAGGGCAGAAGGTTTCTGAATTATTCTTTGTAAACATCTGGCTATTGGTGATGCTGTGATTGACTAAGAGGCAGTGGGGAAAACATACTATAAGCCAACATGAAAGAGATAAGTGTATTAACAGACTGGAATTCCAACTTTACCCTTCCTTCCAGTGAGTTTAGAGCAGCCTTTCCTACTTAGCTACACCCACCTCCTCTCGCTTCCTTTCTTGCCACTTACCAGAAAGTAATGATTCCTGTGGTTTTCCCTGGCAGAATTAAAACAATGGGCAAAGAACAATCCGCTCATAGAGGCAGAAGGAAAGGGAAAAGGATAGAAAGAATGAGAACCAGAAAGGGGTGGGAAGTGTGAATCTTGCAAAAACAATTTGGAGGAAGCAACTCAGAAGATTGTTCATGGCAAGAATGAAATATGTTGATAATGCATCTAGCAGGAGAATATAATATGGATAATGTAGTTCTCTGGGATAAGAGAGCAAATATTCCAGAGGGTTAGATGCATCAAGAATTAGAAAAATTCATAGAGCTTCTAGGAAAAATGACTATGAACTAGGTATTTTCATCCCCATCAGATGTTTGTTCTGGAGACTTAAATAGATATAGAAATTCCTAGTTGAACTACATTTCTGTGAAAGCAAAATAAGTTTATAACTGAATGTAGGTGCCCAGATTTAGGAATGTTACATTAAGTCTGGTTAATATATATCATGTGACTGAAAAATATCCGTCATCCTGCCTTTTTGTTGGTCACAGTGTCTGTCATTATAGTGCCTTCACAGGGATCATGATTATTTTTTCTTTCTAAATAACATTTTTAGTTGTAGCTATTTTCAGTATAAGGGTAAATAAAATTTTGCATGTTGAAGTCCACAATCTCAAGCCAAGACATAATGTCTGAATTAATGCCATTATTCTCAGGTTAAAAAATAATGATTTCTTAGTTTTGAAGTTGCAGACTAATATCATACTTTCAAGCTTATATATGAAACCATTTCTATTCTTAAACAAAAGAGCAGGATTTCCTTTTCCATCCAATTGCCTCATGAGCTTTGTCTTTCCACTTCTACCACTTGTCTTCCCACTCCAAATATTGAGTATGAATGTGGGGCCACTGATTCAATTATTTCAGTGTCAGATTGTTTGCTTCAGCTGTCATAGGGCTAAATATGTGGCAATTTATTGGATTAAAAACACGTGACATCAAAATGAACAGAACGTGTCTGATCTGTCATTCACCTATGTACTGTACACTACAAACAATTGATCTGTTAGGCCATCAGAAAAGCTGGAGTCCACTTTCAAATTCTATTAATCTTATATAGAGTAACCTATTTTACTTAAAAAATGCACTGAGTTGAAATTCGCTCTTGCTGCCATTTCTGCTCCCCTATTCCAAGAACCTTTCAATTAAAAAAATAAACCACAGAATTTCCCTTATTTTCTATAGCTAAGAGAAAATTATTTTAATTTTATATAAAACTTTAAAGGGATAATTTATCTCTGTCTTCACTAATCAAAGCTCAAATTTGTAAAATATTGGTGCCTTTTCTGTTACAATAAGCACGTTATTGAGAGAATTGGATGGCAGTGGGTGGAAATTGAACGTTTTATTTGAGTTATATGTCATTGTACACAGACTCTTCAATGTAATTTACTTCTGATAACTTTTCCACATGTCAACATTTAGAAATAAAATGTCCATGCTTTAGGTAGGCCTGCAAGTTTATTTCTTAAAAGCCCAAGAAATCTCTGGTTTTGTTATACAATATGAACAAGATATCCTTGTTCCACTTTCAAAGAAATGTAAAATTGTTTCTGATTCCAGATAACTCAAGTAATTCTAAGTATTTTTATAAAATAACAATACGCAATTTCCACTAGACTTAGAGTCATAAAATCATTACTGTTACTGTGAAGTTTCTTAACAATTTAGTTTGGACATGAATACTTGTGTGGGGGATATATTGCCTGTGACATCTCTAGTCCTCTGGTTTAGTTTCAACAGGAGAGGGAAAAGAATAGAATTAAAGCTCAAGAAAAATCATTAGCAGTAAAAAGAAAAACAGATAAATTATACATGAGAAGAAGGAAACAATATTTTGCAGGCTACACAAATCAAAGTTCTGTTAGACTCTCTCTTGCTCTAAAGCTTACAATTGCCTGTAGAATCACAACCAAACGCTTCAGTAATGTCATCAAGTGTCCACATAGTCGTTCACATTTGATTTTCACCACTCCTCCTCAACAACTTATATTGCACCTAGTCCAGCTTATACTGCGCTCCATGTCACACCAAAATGCCTGCATTTTTTCCAACTTGATGCTTTTTCTCTTGCCATTTTCCTTTCCAGAATGTAGCAATTCTATTCAGGCTATTCCTGCTCTTCTCCACTGCAGTCCAATTGAATATGTTTAAGTGCACTGTCCCCTATGATGTCTTCCTTGATTCAGCCAGAAAAAATCTCATTGCTATATTCTGAAAGAATTTTGTGACTTTCTGTTCTTATTCATCATATTCTAGCTTTTATTATGGTTGTACACTTTACTTTTTTATATATATATAGATTCTAGAATTCTTAAGAGTAGAGAAGATACTTTATTCATTTTTGTATCTCCCGGTAATCCTAGCACAATACCATACTGATAGTAGGAGATGAAGAAATATTTGTTGCATTCATCTGAACTGAATTTACACTAACTCCTTACGGAACCCAATAATCAAGATTTAAGATTTTTAATGTATTTAATAGACTTCTTTCTCTTCTGCACCCCTTTAAGTATATTTGAGAAATATATAACCACTAAAGAAAAATTAGAGTTTTTAAAAATTAGTCATGAGCATATTTCTCAAAACGTTGTGATCAAATGTTGGAGTAGGTAAAAAGATAAACTGGAGTCTGCTTGTGTGTTCCTAAGAATACACATTGAATGTGATTATGAAAAATTACTAGGTAGATGGCTTTGGGGCTAATGATTTTGCAAGTTATTCAAATTGTCTGTCATTTAGAAGTGGCAGACCTTAGTGTTCCTTCCACCTTGACTGAACTTAAGGCTTTTATCCAAAGGAGCTCTTCAATCTGGAGACAAAGTTGTATAACTTTCTTAGTAACCACCAGGTACCTGGTAGTGAACTGTGTTCTACCATTGGGACAAATGCCTTCTAATATTTTTCATATTCCTGGTCAGTGACTTAAAAAAAAAACCTACCCAATTGCAGTCTGCCATTCAAAAGGAATATTTCTGCAAAGAAAAAGATGTGAAAATGTAGGCATTCAAGTGAAAATTCAATCCTTCACAGTACAGAGCCTCTGCGAAGTCTTTTAAATGACCCTTTTTATCATGGTGCCATGTCTGTACCTTTTTGAATAGTGAGACCTGGTAAGAAAAATAGATGTATGTATACAAGTGGTTGAGTAATGTATTACTCATATGCACTTTGTTCTTTTTGGCAAACTGACCTTATCAAAGGAAAGAAAGCTATACATTGTGACAAGCTGAGCTTTACCAGAAAGTCTGAATTAGGAGTGCAAGTCCTCTGTTATCTGGATTAAAATATGATCAGGAAAAAAGGAAATCATCATTTAACCTCTTCAGAAGTAGAGATGCTGAAAAATTGACTTAATTTTAAGTCAAAACCTAAGCTTTCTTATTACATTTGGACTTAGCTGTCAGAGATGATTTGCATTAAAACAATCATATATTTTTCTTCTAAATACTTGTCTGCTTTTTTGATGTTCAAATAAACAGTGTTAGATTTTTTTTTTATTGTCTATGCTTTACAGAGGAGTCTTATAAGAGGCTGGTGATGAAATATTCTTCATCAGTTTCTCCAGGACAAATGCTGTGCCTTATTTTCTACCTCTGTGGATGACATTTAAATAAACAGTTAAATTTTTGCGTTAATATTGTATAGTAATTAAAAGGCATTAGTAATTATTTTGGATGCACGCCCCTTCCTGAAAGTAGTTTTATTTACAACTATTTCCTCATGCTCATTTAACCCATTTTAGTGAAAATATTAAATTATTCTAAAAGCTAGTGAAATCATAATGAACCGAATTCATTCCTTTAGAAATAAACGGAGACATGGAATTCAAACTTGCTCATCTACAGATCTTTTTCCTTTGTAATAAACAAGCTCTTTTCAAATGAGTACATAAAGATGGACAAAATAATCTGGAATGGATAAAGCCAAGAGGAAAAAAAAAAGACATTTTACATAGCACAAAGACACAGAAAACTATTGCTATTTTATTCACAGTAAAAGAGTGTGTGTTGCTGCTGCCCAGTTACTGTGCATGTGAATTCACCAGATCTAGACGTATTTGCCCAATTAATTACTCTGCTGTTCGACAATGATGGGTAATGGTCCAAGCAGCCTGCTCCTCTTCAGATCACCGATGGAATTCATGCAGGCATAATGTCCTCTCTTCATACAGGATCCCAACAAGCTCTATAATTACTTTTTTTTTCTTTTGAAATAAAGGCATTGATTCAATTATATGTTAAAACAGTTTGTGGGAGAAGAAATGGAAATGAAACAGGATCTCTCTTGCTACCTTTCTGGGTAGAAGCTGGAAGACGAACTTCCCCATTCTACTCTTTCCAGGAGCGAACTTCAATATTAAAAAATAATGGCTGATCAAAATTGTTCATCATTACCCTTAATTAGTCTGTTGGTTTTCAATAGTTTTCTTCATTAATACAGATGAAGGTGTGTTCTTCCACGTTCAACGACATGCTATCCCTCCGTGCTAGTAAGCTTATGATGTAGCAGATCAAACAAAGAAGCCTCCTGTACAAATGCACAGCAGTCCCCGTAAACTAGGGTTAATTAGCATTGTAATTAGCTCACGTGATGACTAAAACAAAGTCAGAGTAACCCAGGAATCACTTAGAAAGGATACCAGGTGGTGTCGTCCCCCTTCACCCGCCAGCCTCCTGCCCCTGTTTCTAATACTGGGTGGAGCCCGGGGCCATCCTTCTTCCCAGCTCCCCACTCCCCAGCTCCCCACTTCCCAGCTCCCCAGCTCCCCAGCTCCCCAGCTCCCCAGCTCCCCACCTCCTGGTGGCCGCAAGCCAAGTTCTCTTCCCAGGCCTGAAGGTTAAGGGATGCGCAGGACTTGACTGAGGCTGCTGTAAAGATGTTGTTAGGATATTAGTGTAGTGCACTAAATGTTGCCAGTTAAAGGTAGCTTATAAAAAAAAGAGCTTCCCCCTTTGGCTTTTCGGGAATTGGCAGACACAGTTCGCTTTGTAAGCAGGAGAGCTGGAAGCAAGAGTGGAGAATTGGGCTTCTTTTCACGCAGATTTATCAGCTTACTTAAGGGTAAATGTTAAGTATAATTTGTGGAGTTCTACTCATACACTTACACACCAACATGCCTTATAAAACAGAAGTCCCTAAATGGGCCCACGTGCCTAATGATTTTCTTTGGAATTTTACAATATAACAGCTAAGGCATCTTCCTACTTGATGTAGGATTCTTTCTAATTTTATCCAATTATGAAAAAAAAAATTCCAAAACTTTATTCAGAGGAAGTGAGGACAGACACCATCAATGAAAACCAAAAAGGGAAAATGACCATTGTAGGGAAAAAAAAGTCAATAATTGGGATAGCACTAATCCATTCTTTAAATAACTTTGTGTCACTTAAGATTAATGTGTTTTCACTCTTTATTATATTTGATCCTTACAACCACCCTGAAAAAGAAATGCAGAAGTTGTTTTAATTCCCATTTTACAGAATGGAAAATGGTCTCATTACCTTCTGAGTGACAGAGAATGTAATCAACAGACAGCATAACTCTCAGGCTTCCAGTTCAGCGAGGCTCCATTATGCCAAATTGACTGTGCTCGAGGCCAAAGTCAGTAAAGTTGGTCTTTTATTTTTTTAATTAGTCTTGGTTTAACTTAAACTCAGTTATTATTTCTAATGTAAACTGTCTTATTTTAAATTGTTTTTAAAGTTATATTTAAGCCCATTTCAGCACAAAAATATCAACCATTATTGAAAAAATTAAATACATAAGAAAAATATTTTCAAAAAGTATTCCAATCCGAATCTATATACAAGGTGAGGAAACTTTCAGAGCTGTTAGTAAATGCGAATCATAGAAGCTAATTTTATTATAATACATTTAGCATCATATAAAAATATCTCTGAGTCATGGTACATCCACATCTTTCTACTGATAAGAATAGGATTTCCTGAAGCTCTCAAATACAGCATTCTCTTTTTCTAATACCAGTGTTTTATGCATAATTTGGAGAAGTAGTTCTGTATGATAATTGCTCCAACTTTAAAAGTATATTCATGTGGTTAACATGCATGAAAAGATAAAAAATTTTGTCCTAACTGATACATCGACGGTCATTAGGTCTATTTTCACCTCAATTTAGTCTGTTTAATAGAATTTTATCAATTAGTTTCCAAAACAGCAGATCCAGTCCTATGTTAGACGTGGCTTAAGTGGCAGGATTAGACTGTTGATCCTCGGGATTGATGGTGAAAGCTTGGTAAATATTCATAAAATGTTGAGATTTCCTAACAGATTAATCTGAAAGAAAGAAATGAATACATTATTAGTAAAAACTTCTATTCCTATCCTGTGTAATATATGAATAATTTTAATACAGATGCAAGCTGTTTTTGGTATTTGCCACAAAATTAAGTATAAATAAACTTGCTCCAAACATAAAAGAAAAATAAAGAACCTAAAGATAGGCATTTGGAGTGCCTATTGAGAATTAGCTGATCCACAACAAAAGATGTATTCTCTTCTTATACTTTTTTTGTCTTCTTTTATGAAAATATTGTCGGGAACTGCAATTTGGGGTGTATTGGCTATTATTTAGTGAGCTTAATTTTGACACGGGAACATAGGAATAAGTGGGCAGAAAGGTAATCAATGGTAAGTGAAGATAAGACTGATGCAATAGACTTCCCTCTCCAGTCTCCAGATTTAATTCGTGTTAGAAATGGAGAAAGGAAAATCCCAATGCAGATTTCTTTTTAATTTTCACACTGAAAAAAACAATTCTGAGCCATGTTTTTTACATAATTTTGAAACTTAAATAAAAAAGACACAGGCACCAATTTTCAAAACAGGCACCAATTTTTCAAAACCTGGCAGTGTGAAGCAGAATATGATATCCTGTACTTACCAATCGAGTGTGGAAGTTGCATTTGACAGATCAGTTCAATGAAGTAGTATTTTTTAGGAAAAAATCAAGGATGAAAGAAAATACAGTTATTACAAGTTGAGATATAAAAATAGGTCCAACTCTGTGGGGCAAACTAAAATTATAAATCAGTTCGCAAACATAAATACAAACTAGCAATATTAATATGCAATGTAATCTATTACATTCACTTTATCATACTACTGTTTTTGGTTTATTATATTATTATTGTACTTCTTCATGATAGTACATTCATTCTCTGCCTCTTTTTTATTCCCTACATCTGGGTTCCAAGGGCAAGCTTCTTGACCCCCTGAAATTGCATGCAGGTTTTCATGTGTGTGTGCAACAGTATAGGTACATTTGTGAGAAAAGGATCCACAGTTTTTGTCAGACTATGAAGCCTATGACCCCAAATAATTAAGATCCAGTATCCTGTAGCTTATTAAAAACAACTTCCCAGTGATTTTTTTTTTCCCTTTAAAATTTCTCTGTGCAGACTTTCGGTGCTTCACACCCCAACTATGCCAGTAATCTCCCAGCTGCCTTCCCTCCCTCCTGCCTCCTTTCTCCAACTCATCCTCTATAACAAATGCCACCAGATCAATCTTATTGAAACATCATCAATATCATGTCTCAAATCCACTAAAAAACAAGTTTAAAAAAACTGATATCTTTCACTTTACTTACAAGGTCAAGTTCTGATATTTTGGCATTCAAATCTATTTCATATCGGGTTCTCCGCCATCTCTACTGATAGTAGCTGACATTTACAAAGTGATGCTAATGTGCCAGGAAGTGTACCAAGTGTCTTACATAAATGGACTCACAAAATCTCCCAAATGGCTCTGTAAGATGCTTTGAGACTTCAGAGGTACAATCATCAGCTAGTAAGTGATAGATCTAGAATTCAAACCTAGGAAGTTTGACCCTGCATGAGATTTTAGCCATGATGTCTCCTGCCTACTTAATTTACTTCTTGCCAGTATCAACCTTCCTCTCCAGACAGCTGAAAATCCTCACTGTCAACTGAATAAAGCACACATCTAACCTCAAGCATTTTTCATACTTCGCCCTCCCTATTCTCCAAGATTGTACTCAAGTCTCACATTTAAGTGAATAACGCATTCATTATCTCTTCTGTCTTGGAACCATAACATCTAAAACATTCATTCAACTACACCCCTTCTGTTACTCATATACAATTTTGCATTACGAATTTTCTCTAACTGGACAGTAAGCGACTGGTGGGCAGGGTTTTGATCTCGCATTTTTTGTTCTCTCATCTTCAGCATATAGATCAGTGCCGTTCATCAAGTTTGCATTTGAAAAATACTTATTGAGGGAGTAAATTAACCTGAACTTCTAGAGAGTGTCATGTTTGAAAAATGATACTGTAATTAGTTCTCTAACATTCTATTATGCCTTGATAAAAGCTCCTGTGTATGGTGGCAGGTGGGCTTATGAGCTATTGTTACCATGCTAAAACTGGCTTCCTGTGTTGTCTCAGTTTGCCTGGGGTAAATCTCATAGAATGCCCCTGTGTGTGCATGTGGGGTAGAGTAGAGGGGGATATTCATTTTCATGTAAAAATGATACAAAATTACCAGAAATTTTAATGCAAATTTTTTTTCCTTTAAAGGAATTTCAGGGCCAATTAGGTTAGCTCACTCTCAAGAAAAGGATCTGGATCCTTGGCATTTGCTTGGCCTGCTTCACTAAATTGATTTAGTGAAGAATCTCTCCCTAATAGAGTCAGAACAAAGTAGGCCAAGCAAATTCCAAGGATCCAGGTTACAAGACAGTTATTGGGAGTGGTTAGATACTTAGTTCTTTTCATTCTTCTTGGAGCTAGCTGTAGTACAAGTTTCTAGTGCTAAGCCAATGTCAAGGTGTCTCATCTTTATATCTCTCAGACACTGATCCTTCCTCACCATCAGACACTCCAGAAGCAACTGACAAACAAAGAAGAAAGGGATCCACCCATATGCTTGAGAAACCAATTCTCTCAGCTAGGCAGAACTGTCTGCATTGAAACTCTGTTTTCTTCTCTTATGTACACAGAAAACCTTGTGTCTAGTGAAAACACATATTACCCATTTTATTATCCAACCTTTAGAAAAGTGTGATATGGAAGATAGTTTGTATAATAAATTATAGTTGATCTGAATAATTATATACATATGGATATGCATGTTTATATCAGGATGCTTTCACTATCTTAAAAATCCTTTTGAAATGTCTAAAAGTAACTCATTTTGAAGCATCTAATCATTCAGTGGATAACACCCAGGGCTTGGATACATCACTATAAATGACTCAGCTTTCCTTTTAATAGTTGAAAATGCAGGGCTTAGACTAAATCAGGAATCACTTACATGCCTACAGACAGAAGGCAGATAATGAATGCTTGAAGTAGGTTTGGAGGAAATCTCTCTAAGAAGTACTGAAGACTGGGGCAAATTGGAGAAACTATGCCCCGTCTAAAGAGAATGGCAAATGTTCAGTCCCAGGTGATTTTATCTTGCAGGAAAGAAGACCCACTGTTACAAAACCTTCTAGTTTTTCTGAAGAAGCAAGATTTTTTAAGAATGTGAAATGCCCCGGGTTTTGAACTAAAAGAATAAATCTGGTTTTGAGAACTGGGCAGGCCAAACAAAGCATATGTGAGAATGGGTTCTGTTCTAGAAGCTACCAGTTTATTGCTGCAGACTAGATAACCTATGCCTGTTTTTTTAACCCAGGTATTGTGTAGTTATACATGCAACTGTTTCTCAAGTATACTGTCTCAAAAAACACTTAAAATTGAAAATATTCAGTTGATAAAAGCATGGTTGAATTAAGAACATTTCCTCTTAGACTCTCTATTAAAGACATTGGAAAATGGATAAATAGGAATAATTATACTGTACTGTAACTTCAGCAAAACTTTTCATTCTGGTCCTCACGTTGTGCTTACCCATAAACTCGGGTTAAAGTCAACTCTGGTTAAAAATTTCCAAATGAATATAATACTGTAGCCTGAGAAAGGGTCCAAGGGAAAAGTTGTCAGACTCTGGACCAACCCAGAAAACATTAAACATATATTCTGTGAGAAATAGTCTTGACCCCATCTTGTTTAACAATAACTTACTGACTTATATGAGAGAATGGCAGGTTTCTTTTTATTCTAAGACTGGAACTGGACTTAATGAGCTGCCATCCACTTGGCTCAGTCCTAACTGCTGAACAGGGTAGCTCCTCTTTGGTGCATTCTGCTAGGTACCTTAGAATGATATCACGGAAAATTAAA